CCTATTCAATAACTATTTACTTTGGGTTGAAAAGGGGGAAAAAAAATTCAAATAAAGTCAAACATCCCATCTAATCACATGACATGGGTGCATACCAGAACATTGGCTATAGCCTACCTGGAGACAGTTCTAGATATTTTTCCTTAAGAAAAGGGAAAAGAGCAGGAAGCCAGTTTATAAACACTTAGCAATTTATGACTATTTGGTGTTGATTATAGCTATGGCAGGCTAGAAAATTTGTTACCCAACACTCTCAAGATACAGGTATTTGGATTCATTCTGTCCAACTCTTATTTACCTCGAATGAAAACATCCTTTTCCTTCCAAAGTTGTTTCTTTTCCAATTATCAAACGCTGTTAGCAAGCAAAGCCACTCTGCTAGGAAATGAACAGCAAGATTCAAATGAGAAAGACATTTAAGTTCTCACCTTGTAAAAACTTTCTGAAAGTCTTCCTCTTGCCATTTTTAGCAATTTGTAACATATGCCCATGTTCTTTTTTTCCCCCCCAGTCTGTAGAGCTGGCAGACTAAAGTGCAGAGGGATCCAGCAGTCATTAAAATAAATGAAATGCCTTAAACTGGCATATTGAACAAGAATCAAGTAATTCCTGTAGCCAACGCACTGACTTCAGTCAATCTAAAACAAATACTATTTTGGCAAATTTTAATCTTTGATGCTTAACAGTTGTCTTTTTTAATAAAGAAAAAAAAACTCAAACTGAATACTACACGTATAAACGGCAAAAACAGCATCCCAGTCACACACGCTCCACAGTTGTCACCTTAAGACAGATTTGTTTATTCATGGATGATTCATTCTCTCTTTAGAATAATCTAAATATACTAGCCAGATACTCAGAACATAGCTGAGATAAAGCAGCTGTACACAACACAAAAGGAGTAACAGCAGCCATATTTTCCTTCCAAAAAGGGTTTCTGCTCTTTGACAATACATTTTGTTTTTATTTTAATACATATAATTTTATTTTCACAACACTTGGGAGCCCAGGCCCATACCAGGATCCCCTGTACATTCCATACAAACCGCTGGTTCCTACAGTTCCTATCCAAAAGGTGCTTTACATTTTCAGCAGTTTGGAAGTGTTTGTTTTAGTAACAATGTCTCTTGCCCACTATGCCAAGTAACGATCCTCAAACTTACCATTCCGAGCTAATCCCCCCTCCCAACCCAAAAGTCTCAAGTCAAAGTTTTGCCATTTACCCTCCCCACCGTCAGTTGGGGGAAAGGATTTTTGAAAACTAGTTGTCATCTGTAATCCTCTTGGGATTTTGGGGTTTTTTTTCTTGTTTTGTTTTAAACAGAAGTATTAGTAAGTTTAATTGATAAAGCACATGAAAAAAGTCTGCAAAGCGGGCGAGGAAATATTACTAGTTTCGTTCAACTTTCTGTTCCCATAGGAAATATTTCTTTTCAGTTTATCGTGAACCATCACTTCCCCCCCACTCCTAATGCTGTAATTGTGGACATTAATTGCTTTTACTAATTTTTAACATAGCAATAGCTACTGGACCCTCACTGCTGTAGTCCACCACTTTGCTTAATACTATTCCCAAAACATCATCACGGACGATCCAAATCCCCAAAGTTCAGTTTAAATCTAGAGGAGATGCATATGGCCTCAGCTATCAAAAGGAAGAGTAATAGTGAATCGTAGATAAAAGTATGTGAGCTGCAAAACCCAAGGATGAGGTCCTGAAAAAACATGATTATCAACTGGAAAGGGGATATATTTCAATCTCTTGAAATAATAGAAGATATTACCCATGTGTGTCCACAGGTGGCCTATCTTTGTGGTCAACCTGCTGTTTTGCAGCAAATGAGCAACCTTTTGTAAATCCCCATACCTCTATCGTATGGTACTGCTGCCTTAAGGCTGAAAAATAAAACCGTGCTCAACAAGATCAAAAGTCATTTCTGTCCTTTCCTGCCCACAACATGCATAAGACTTGATGAGTAGCATGAGTTTTAAACCCACAAGAAAAATAATGGTAACCATCACAGACTTTTGCATGGCACTCTGAAGACCTGAGTCTTGTGGTTCCAAATATTGCATTCAACTGCAGGCTTTTCAAACTGCATAATAGAAGTCTCTGTGCAAATGTACCACTTGAGGAGAAGGAAATCTGATACAAACTCAGAAACTAATAAAAGCTTCAATCTATTATGGAGGGCTATTAATGCAATACACAACCAGACATTTCCCAAGGTATCTGAAGAGAAACAGCATTTTTGAGAAGAAATTCAAATAATTGTTTTCCTTCCCAATTGTCAAAATCTCTATGCTGTTAAGAATGAGGGACAAGGAACGAAATCCAGGGAGAGAAGTGTCCGCAGTCTGCCCCTACTCAGTACAGATGTAAATAGCTCTACCACTACCATCCACCATCAAAGAGTTCAAGATCATTTAAAAGGCAATGGTTTCTTTCTGCAACACTGTATCATGCCAACAAATCAAGATTCTCTGGGTACATTTTTCTTTTATCATGTCCTTTCATCTTTTGTTCTTTTGGTAACAAGGCCAAATAGGTGTAGGATTTCAAAAGAGAGATACTGCTTTCTTGTTCATCTCTGTTTTTCCATTTTAACCCATCAGTTTGGAAACAGTCATTCCACACACACACATACCTACAAAGGCAATCCTGTCCATTTCACAAAGCTCTGCTGTAGCCTTCCTGACCATCTTGATCTGGAATTTCACAGGCACAGATTTTTTTAAATGAAAAGGTGTATAACTCTAATACAGAAATCACCTATTGCACTCAATTCTCAGATTATTCCTATTGAAATCCCTGTTGAAAACAAGCACAGCTGAGAAGATTGGTCCCTCCATAAGGCAAGAACTGGAGCTTACGTGGAATAGACCTGAAACAGGCTCTCTGTACGAGTCTCTTCTGCATCTTAAGCGTACCACCACTGTTATACAGCCTTCCAATTGTACCAGATCTTGCGCCTTAATCTTGTCTGAGGTTTAGAAAACATCGTGTCTTCAAGGTTATAGCCAGAGGCTTCAGACTCAAAGGTTTTTGACACTGCTCACTGTTTGGGGTGAAACTAGCATCTCACTCAGTGTATCCCACCTGTGGTGAAAACCGGGACCCAATCTGTCTTTTTAATGCAAAAGCATCAGTTATTGAACCAATATAACACAATATACAAGAAGTCTGTTCCAGTGTTTATAATCCAAAGTAAAGGAAGACCTAAGCAGATTATATTTACTCCAAAGAGCAGACTAAGCTTAGTCTGGGTACAGGTCTCAGCCTTAAGAGAAAAACTGACCGACCCCCAGGCATGTGCTTTAGCCCCTCCTGATCCTTTGCCTAAGCTCTGTAGAGACAAATCCTCTGCCTGAAACGTTTGTTGTGCTCCCTGGGATCACACTTATGTTGTCTCTTAAATGCTTGCTTGAGAAGAGAACATCTGGATACACCTCATTTGCTTCTGGTGTATTCTCTAGCAACGCTTCTGCTGTAGTGACTTCTCTAGAGACACAAAATAAACATTTCAATATCCAGACAAACACATTATATTTACAGTGCATCTCAGGTAATTAAAAGCCTGTCGTACACACAAATTATACTCCCCCAAAAAGGCTATTTTGTAGCACATGTGACTTCTGAACATCAGGAAGCCAAGTTAATTGCACTTGTGAATGGTCTGTGATCAAGCCTTCGAGATATGAGCAACATACAATTACATAACTTCCCACAGTGTGTTGCCTACACATTTATCTCTGCTTTTAATTTCCTGTACTGATATAGCCACCTATAATATAATGCATGAGGGTGGGAAGGTCACACTTATCTATCCAATCAAACTTAGCAGTCAAAAATATTTATGACATCAATGCATTGCTTGTTGCGGGTTATGTTTACACATGTTACAGCTCTAAAAAGCAAACAAAAAACCCTTACCCACACCACATAACAACAATGAAAAACCCACACATGGTCTGGAAACATCCTAGACAGAAATCGAGAACTCTGTTCCAGCCAAAATTCAGTCTCTTTGATACTACTCCTTGTAAAGATCCTGCACAGTCTTAACGAGCCCTCATACTGGGGTCCCAGTCTGTCTCTGCTCCCAAAACCCTCACTGCTGTAGTTATTAGATGGCCAACAGTGATTCTAGAAGATTATAAAAATAGATGGAAACTGACCCCAGAGAGTGGCTAACTGAGTATCCTAGCTGTGTATCTCTCTCATTTCGTAATAGGAGAGTTGTAAAAACAAGAACTTTGGCATCCATTCAGTACCTTCTCTCTTGTTTTTACGTGTAACAATGTCCGGCTTGTGTGCGTGCCGAAGTGTGCGCGCACAGGTGTGACATTCTGAGTCCTCACACAAAAAATACATCCATTAAAAGCACAACTGCTCTTTTCGCCATTCACTCGAGCAAAGCACCAGGAAAATATTCACATTGGAGTCAGAACTGAAAGCTGCTATTGGAGGCTTTCATCCCTTGCACGCACCAGCAGATATAGAAAATAATCTAAGTAGTGAAAGGACAATTCAGAAGTGCATACATTTAGGAGGAGAAATACACAAATACGGATACCCTTTGCTGTTTGGTTACCTGTGACTTGACAGTCTAATGCACCTCCTGCAACGTTCCAGATAATACAGTCATTACTGCATTATACTGCAAAACCAATCACTTTGTTGCTCGTGAAGTTCCATATCACAATTCAAACTAGAAGCTTTAGAACAAAAACCCCTCGTAGCAAATTTACAAGTACTAAGTAACTTATACCAATCTGCTGCCTCTCAGTCCAATTCAACATATTAACAAGAATCTCTCTAGTACAGCTTCCTCTCCATTAGAGCCACTGTGGCTGAACAGGCAAGAGCGAACAGCTGCTTAACTCCCACATTAGTAAAACTTCATTAGGTTCAAGCAAATGAGCTCTCCTTCCTCCTATTCAAACACTGGCACAGTTGCCAAAGGTTCAGCCTTGGTCCCTTGCGATAAATTACTCACCTTCCCCATCAGGGCTCATATTTTCATAGGAGTCCCAGCGTATCAGTGGATCTGAGGTATTGTAATCAACTATCACTCCATGGTCGTTCTGAAGGTGTTCATATCCTAAAAAATTAACATCTGTTTGAGAAAAAAAGGTATCATAGCCACATTTGTAATGACATACACACACGTGTCTGTGTGCCCCTCCGATAGAAGCTTCCTACCCCCACTGTAACACCATGTTCCGAAACGTAAGAGGAAACACTAAGGGAAGAAAGATTACATAAAGCAACTATGAAAGCTTAATTTACATTTCATTATAGTAGGAACCATCAAAGAATTTCATCGTGAGCGTCTTGATTATGCTGTAGCTCTGAACTTGAATCAGCCCCTCACACAGATGATCTGCCGAGATCTGCAGTCAGGCACGTTAAAGCAAAGAACGTTTCAGAACGAATCTGCAAGTGTTTCTAAAGACATGGTAACAAAGGGATGATAAAGTAAGATTTTGCTATAGGCTACCCGTCTGATACCAGAGAAGTACCTCACTAAAGGCACACAGGGAGAGCTCTAAGCTGCCACTCCGTTTCCCTGCCAATTCCCTCCAGGTGCCGACTGCGTTGCTCCATCCGTTCTCTAACCTCCCGGCAGAGCCCGAGATCAGGCCGTTTGCCTTATGTGTCTGGCTGCACAGAAGTACGCTCTGCCAAACATACCTGGAATTTATAGCAGCAACACACATTTTTCTGCCCTTAACAAGGCAAAGATAATGTTCAGCTTTTAAATGTATACCACGAGGAATTTAGGTGTGGTCCAGTGATTCAAAAGCAAAGCATGAATGTCAAGAACTCATGACCATGGACTTGGCTTTGACACCGATTTAATACAGATACACAATACAGATCAAATCAGCTTTCTGCCTCCATCTAGGACGGGGAGTTTAAAAAAATATATATATATATATCCTTAGTTACCAATTTTTCACCTGTGTCTTGAGAAGTAGGTCCTATTGTAAACTGGTCTAAAGCAGCACAGTGCTGTGCTTTTTTGCTGCACTGCTGTGTGGTGCATGTGCTGTGATTAGTGCCCCTTTCAAAACATGGATAATTAAAATCGGAAGGACAAGAATACCATGGCCCCGAAACCTTGTATGCAGGCAGAAAAAGCCACCTGTACAGAGTCTGTATGCTCAGGTTTATCACAAAGTACATTTAGGAAGTTTGTTACCGAAATATTTAATCTTCTTGGCAAGTACACCCTTTCTTACTAACTGTATCCCAGCAGGTTATTTTCTAGAACAGCATGTCCAGTTTGGGGCAATGCAATATATGAAAGGCATTAATAAACTGGAGCCAGTTCAGCAGAGGGTCACCAGGGCTGAGGGCTGGAGCGCTTACCCTGCGCAGAGAGGCCAAGGGACTAGAGCTTGTTTAGCCTGGGGAAGGGGCGGTTTCGGGGGAACCCAACAGCAGCCCCCCCAGGACCTATGGGGCGTTTACCGAAGAGATGGGGCCAGGCTCTTTACTGGGGTGCAAGGTGGGAGGACGAGGAAGAGCAGGCATAAATTGAAACAGGAGAGCTTTAGACTCAACACAGGGGAAGATGACTTTCACTGCAAGGACAGAGAGACAGTGCAACAGGCTCTCCAGCAAGGTTGTGCTGCCTCCATCCTCGAGGTTTTCTAGACACAACTGGACAAAGCCCCGGGCAACCTGGTCCGATCTCATGGCTGCTCCTGTTCTGCCCAGGAGGTCGGACCAGAGACTCTCTGCAGTTTACTCTAACTTCAATTATTCTAGGATATAATTCTGCAGAAATTGTAAATAAATACTTCATGGCGAACCCTTCTTCCCAGACTGTTAACCCCTGAGAAAGAAATTGAGCACTAATTTCCAGCTAATGAGAACCTTACTTTCCAACAATTTAAAGCTTGCTAAAAACACAAATTTGATTTTCCCTCTAGGGAGGGGGGCTTGAACAAATTTTGAACCTTTTTCAGACACGTCAGCTGGCCTCTCTTCAAGCATAATACGGGATTTACTATCCAGGAAGCGTTTAGATCAAGCTGGTGAAATGTATTTATACTGTTTTTCTTATTTGGCTTTCCAGCAGGCTAAGTGAGATCTTTGTGCTCAGCTGGACAGAAACCAACTTCTTGCTGCTACTAGAAGTCTCTCAGTAATCAAACGGGTGAAAAAAGAGGAGGAAAATATGCAATTCTCAGGACACCTAACAGGATTATGTATGAGATGCAGACTGTTCAGAGTATTTGTTTTTCATTCAGTCTCGAGCAGAATCTATACTTTTTGTAACGCAATAAATAAAACCAAAATCCTTAACAGAATTAAACTGCAATATAAAGCATGATTCAAGTCCTTCTTGTTGCAGTCAATAATTGTTTATGATTTAGAAATATTAGAATAGAATATACTCTGGAGGTATACAGGATATACTCTATAAACCAGATTCAGAGCAGAAGCATCTCAAGGAAAAACTGGAACCATTTCTCTTTATGCTAAAGCGAAGACAGTCCAAACTTCCCCACTTACTGGAACTCGATCACTTACAACAACAGCCAAAAAAATGTTATGGGATGGACGGCTGCTGTCACTTACGTTTAAGCAGGCTACCTATAATGCAACATGTTTCCTACAGATACAGGAGTGGTCTCTAGCGATGGTCAGCCACCACTCTGGTATACTTTTTAAAATGTTGGATCACTCTTATGCTGATGTAAATGAAGGGGCTTCATTAACCTCTTCATATTTAAATTATTAATTATATTGCGTACTTTAGCACTGAAGTTCAACTCTAGACTTTCTAAGAGAGAAAAAAATGACTTACTTTTTTTTTTTTTTAAATACATTCCAGTGAGGTCACTTCCAAAATTTATTTATTTATTTAGTATACTAGAAACTCACCTTGAATTTTCTCTGGGGTTCCTGAAAACACTAGTTCTACCTTCCCATAATCAGGGAAACGGTCATCTGAAAACAAAGGAAGATATTTCAGCAAGCTCTTTCCCACAAAAACAGTGGCAAGGCACCCAGAAATCAAGATTTTCTATTGCTATTAATACATGTACTTTTGTCAAACTTCTTTTCATTTAAATCTAGCAAGATTCTTCTAGAACAGCCACATTCCCTAAAAAAGACCACACAGCTGTAAGCTGGAATGTTTTTCGCTTCCAAGAACAGTCAAAAACCAAGAAGAAAAACAGGTACCTCTCAACAGACATGGCTGTCCGTGGCAGTTAAAGGAAAACATACCTGGGAGCAAACTCTAATTGCTTTCTATATTAGCTAAATTGCAATACCTGACCACAAACTTTTGTATAGGCACACACTGCAGGAAAAAAACGTTTGGTTTTAGTTTGGCAGTAATATACGGTAGGTAAGATACAATCCTACACATAAATACTGAAAAAAAAAAAATTAAGAAATCCTTTGAAACGTACAGACTAACACCATGCAGATTTTCAAATATGTCTGAAAACTTGGCCTCCATTTTTGGACATCCATTCTGAAGTAAATTAAAAGGGTTCCATATTCAGACAAACTTAGTATCAGACTTTGTCACTGTTTCCATCAGCTAAAAAGAGATGCCCCTAGCTCATCTTATTTCCTCCAAGAGTGACTAAGAAAGCCACCATTTTAAATAAATGTTTGTTGTTTTACACATGTCAGAAGTTGAGGTAAGGGCTACGTAGGAGTATCTGACTTATTTTGATCAGCTAACTCTCATAAGACCACCTTTATCCCTCATTAGGGGTTTAGCTGTGCTGTGGTGTTATAAATAACATACAGTAGACTCCCATCTCCTAAAGACAGGAATCGGAATTGAAAAATAATAAAAAAAATTATAGAAAAGCCCTTTGAAAATGTACTTGTACTCGTGTTGAACGTAACAACCTCATGCACAGACACATACATCCACTCCTGCTCACGCTGACGTCCAGCCAACCACAGAAGACAAGTACCTTTGTTGGCATTATCTAAGTCCTCTTTGCCAAACACCAGGCCATGTCCTTGAATAGCTCCAGTGTGAAACTGAAGACGAAAAACGACATCCCGAGTAGCTGACCGATATTTTTTGTGATAACACTTTAGCTAAAAAAATAAAAACAAAACATGTCAGTTAGCAATTTCTAAAACTCTGCACAAATGGGTATGTTGTCTAAATAAACCAGCCACAGTGCAACTTACTGCAGACACCACTGATGTTGTAACAAGCAGGACATGGGTTTCTCAATCTTTTTAAAATTATACAGGCCCAAGGCAAGATCAAGTTTTGGATGTGTAAAAATAATAATTACTACTTTCATCACCATCAATCACCGACCAGTAGATGATGATTCAGAATCATAACGTGTGTCATTACAATGTTGGAACACAGACTTATATCAGTACTTTTTCATGGCACCAAAACAATATAAAACTAAATGGTAGCACATCCACTTCAAAATAACTAAAGCATATGTAGAGCAACCTTCTCAGAAAACTTGCAAGCTGATCATATCTTTTTTTTTTTTTTAACCTCTTCTGCTAGTACAAACGTCACAAGATCATCTTTTATGCTATGGAGGGAAGTTAGTGGTAGTTTTGCTGCTTAGCCTAGAACAACACAGAATTATCAAAAAATGAGTTTCAGTGGCTAAAAATAACACAAACACTGTGTAACACCACTTTCCCTTACACCAGACCTGCGGACTTTTAACCTACCAATTCTTTGGGGAGTTCAGGGCAACATATAACCACTCAAGCACAGTTATAGGAAAACATAAAAATTTTGGTAATCATAGTCATAGGACTGAAAGGGACCTCAAGATTTAATGACGAAGTGATGTTACTAAAATGCATCAAAGAGAGAACAAAAATTTTCCCTTTTTAAGTCAGATTGAGAAAAGTGTTTCTAGACAGAAGCTTCTGAATAACTGAAGAGCAAACAGATATTCAAGCAGAAGGGAGGTGACGGATGTAATACAAGAAAGATGTAGGGGTTTAGGATAGACACTGTTGTAAGTCAGGGTAAAACACGGTTATGCAGTTCTTACTACAGGATTAGAAAATATAACCAAAGTTTTTGCTCTATAGTATCCTCCATTATAGTAACCCCACGATGCCTTAAATTCTAGATGAGCATCACTGCTGACCATACACTTGGCACACAGGACAATTTGTGATATATTTCAGCCCAAATACCAGGTGCATTGGGCAGCAAAGACACGGATAACAATCGTCAAAAAACATGCTTGGGTTTGGCCATCAGGTGCCTTGGGTGAACTAGAAGGCCCCTCCCTCCCCTTGCTTTTCTTCAGTCTGAAGCATCATGCTCTTCCCAAGATGAAAAATAGAGATAATAGTCTCCAAAGACTTATTTGACTTGATAGCACATTCTTTTTGTATTATTCATTTTGCTGCAGGTATTTGTCTCTTCAACAGCAGCCCAAGGGGCCATCTCACAAAAAAGCTTAAACTTCACTCCTGCCTCTGCCTCTCATTTAAGAGATTAGACACCCACCCAAGAAACAACTTCTCCAAAAACTCTCATTCCACCTGAAAAGTGGAAGAGGACCAGGAGAAGCAATGCACAATGACTGGATTTGGCACACCACTTTGAACTGTGAATTTCATCTGGGCAATTCAAGCTTGTTTCAAAACCAACCCATATTAACCAGCCTTTAGCATTTATTGAGGGATACTTATTAACAATCCACCCAATCAATCTTTGGACAAACGGAGAACTAAGAGAACACAATGGACTTGATTCCTCCCCTCATCTACACTGACCCGCTATCGTGTGATTCCCATACAGTCACTTCCTACCTACGCCAACAAACACAAGGAGAACGGAAAACCGACCAAGTATCCAGCTCTCAAATGAGAAAGGCTAAACAGCTATTTGCAGGCAGGCAGTCGTAGATACATATACTCCTCTTATGTCTCTATCAACTGGGTCATTCTTCTTAAACTGCTCTCCTTTATAAAACAAAAAGCCTCAAAAAATAAGCATGTTTTATCAAATGCCAAAGACCAAGAGGAGAATCTGAATTCAAACCAATTATTACTCCTAAAATAGACAATAATCTTAAACTTTAAAAATAATTTTCAGTACTTGCATTTGTTTTCCTACTGCCAAAAAAGCAGCACATGCACAACACCACAGCACTAGGCACTGAACTAAAACAACAATAAGGTTCAGTTCCCGACTTTGACAAGGATTTTCAGCATGGCCTCAGGCAAGTTACTTAGCCTGTATTTTATTTCTCCACCCCTACCTTCTGTGGATATTCTGAAGAAAAATCAATTTTATGACTATGCGGTACTGAGCTAATACAAAGATAAGTGGCACGTAATATCTAGAGTTACACACAGAGAAGACAGGAAGAAAAGATTAAATGCATTTGAGTAAGGATTCAGAACCTTCCCACAGGGGCTTTTATGGATGTTGAAGACATGTAACTTTTTCCATTCTAAAGTCACTCATTTGCAGACAAAACACTGCAAGGCCTACATTGTGCTTAATATTCAGTACTTGCTTCCATTTTAAATTTTAAGTGCTGCAACTGCCCAAACATGCTTTGAATGACCATTACAAGTTTATTGGCATTTAATAGTGCATTTCCAGGACCAGCTTTTCAAGCAAGCAGCATGAAGAAGTATTTTCTATTTTGCTGATTCGCAGTAAAATGGGATAAATTACAAGGCTAGAAAGGGAACAGAAACGTATGTTTACAGGAGACAGCAACACAAAGTTTGTAGGATTAAAATAAAAGGCTTTTAAATGAGAGTGAATTCAAGTTACATCCACTTAAACCATAAAGAAATGAGATACCAACTATTCTAATCAAGCACCTTTACGATGATGATAAGAAACTAATGTATGTGGTTTGGGGGCCTTCAGAAAGCTTTCCAGTCTGACTGCTGCCTTTGGATTGCATCATTCTGATATTGCAAAAAGCACTTGAGACTTGGTTGGAGGTTTTATTTAGAAATTCTCAGGGTAAAACTGTGACCTTAAGGAAGTCAGTGAGAATCCCGCTGTTGCCTCGAAAGAGGCAAGGGGATTTCACAGCTTCATTGTAACACACACTGCCTAGGATAAAGTATATAGTACTGTATGGGTCTCTTGCATTTTAGTGCTAGTAGTGGAGTATCTGGAGGGCTGCTGTTGCTCCTTCAGGTCTTCAAATTCTGTATGCCACCAGATACTCATTTCAACTAACAGGAGATTGAAATCAGTTACGTAATACTCTCCTACTCTCCATGTAACCAGAAACCAGCTAGAATTACACCAACGTCTTGTGCAAAGGAGCTCTGGGGTGCCAAAACATCTCATTATCCGATCAGAAATTAAACATACAGCAGTATAAGCAACAGCAGATTGTACCCAAGATGGCTTTGCAGGTATTCTCTTTGCAAATCACATATTTCGACCCCTTTACAAATGGTTACTTGCTTAGAGAATCTTGCACACTTATTTTATTTGAAAGTGAGGTGTTTTTTCTTTCTCTAAAAGAAAATCCCCTACAATACAGTAGTAATAGTGGGTAAAATAATATTTGCTCCTTGTTTTAAATGGTGTATACACCCACTTAAAAAAACACAGCATACAAACCCCTCCCTATTAAAAGGGATCTATCCCCTTTTAGTTCAGCGTAACTACCAGACTCATTTTGCTAGAACTATGGCCATATGCCAGTCCCGTATGTTGGTAAAATATAAGGCAGGAAAACCAGTTAAAATGCTTGAGGTCAGGAATAAATAACCTCCCACTCTCTGCTATACCCAGCGGTTTTCTGGAAAGGCAAAACACTGTCAAGAAGGACAGACGTTGCATAAGGAACGACTGCAAGTTTGGCCAGCAGTGAAAAATGGACAGAAAAACGGTAGTAAGAGTTCCTGACGAACTAACCGTCTCCAAAGTTTATAATCAGCCCGCAAATAACCGTTATCATCCTATTCAATTATATTCTGTGAGTAAAAAGAGGCTTGAAGAGATTGAAGAGCTTCTTTACGGTTATATAACTTCCTCCACAATTCTGTGTTGAAGTGCTATCTTTTTTCTTTTCACTGTTTAAACAGTCGCATTTTTTTCATATGGAGGTCATGCATGAGAGTTACTGAAGATGCAGAAGGCTGAATAACTGAAAAACATATTATAATCCTCCAGCTTCTGTAAGAGTTTTGCTTTTGTATAGATGCAGGACTTACTCAGAACCCATTATCTTTCACGTAATATTTCTAAAAATGCTAAAACTAGGTCAGTTCAGATAATTATGCAATTACTAGAGTGCTTCTTTCTACTTTCTAATTCAAAGTAATAGCTTTCAAGAATTTTAACTCAGAATATCCTAAAATGTTTATTTATAAGGTATTGTGATTGTTTACGAAAATCTGCCCCTCTTACTATCCACTTACCGTACATCTATACCTAAGACACTGAAAATATCTTTTAGCACTCAGCGCACTTTATGAGCTTTTCAGTGGAGCCTAACTTTGAATTCTGACTCCATTTCCTTCTGATACTATATTCAAGAGTAATATGAGCCACTGTAATATGCTGGGGAATACCTACATGCATTTACAGATGTCAGTGCAACTTGTCAACAGCAGTGGCTATGCTGCATCACCACATGCTATTTGCATTGTCTTAAAGAATTCTGTAAGCCCAAGACAAGCAAGTAGTGCCAAAAGGGTAAATAATACACCTGTATCTAGTTCTCTCCAGGGCTTCTTCAGAAACACAATTGTAGAAAATAACTGCAAGAAACAAAGGCAATAAGTCAAGGATTATGAAGATCTCTATTTTTAAAAATCCTTGCACTTCAAGTTGTTAAATGCTGTGGGGCTGAGGGAGTGGGGACTTGGAGACTTTTATTTTTCCTGAAGCCACTGATGGCTATGCCTAACCATAGCTTAAAAAAAAAAAAAAAAAAAAATACACAATCATAACCGAAGCAAAGTCTTCTTTAGGAAATACTACACTATTGAATAAGATGTAGGCTTGTTCAGAAAATGTCCCACAGTAATAATATGGGACCAATGAAGCTGGCCTCTTTTAAAATGATGTAAAAACAAACTGATGGAAAGCATTACTGAAAAGCTATGTGCACCCTTTTCTTTTAAACAACCGTTTGAGAGATATCAAGTTTGTCTCAGACTGATTTCTTTTTGCTTAGGCACCCACAAGCCCTCTGATGAGTAACAGTCTTGCCAAATCTGAAACTGCTCCAAACCTCTAGAGTATACCAGACAATTTATAGCAGGCTTCTCCATTTTTCAGCGAAACAAAAAAATAAGAGCAAAGTACTACACTGACCTAGAACGGGAAGGAGGAAAGGGTGTAGAGAAGAAGGAAGATAATGCACAAGGTGAATTAAAAAAGAAAAGAATCTGATACCAAGGACTCCCTTAATGAGATGCAACATTCTCAATCAAAAAGTAAATAAAAAAGCACTCTGAAACCTACTAGCAATATACACAGGCATACTCTTCCTGATAATACTCCCCGTTCGTTCTACTTATTTTAGCTTCTTAGTCTAACCAATTGAAAGACACAGCAACCACCTCTCTCTACTTTCTCCCGGTGTAACTGCAAATGACAAACGAGAGAAGGCAGAGAGATTTAAAATGGTAGTGGTGCAAATTACACAAACTATGTTGTGGATAAAGATTGCTTTCTGGACACTACAGGTGCCAGTAGAATCAGAAAGCTTTCATCCGTTAGCACCTTTTTGAGTCCGAAAATAATTTGGAATCGATCAGGCGTTTTCTTAACACCACATAGTTTCATGATTGTGAATCTTGCCTGCCAAGTTACAGGGCAAGGATATTGGAAAGCTGCATTACAAATCCTCCCACGGTAATTTTTATAAAGAAAATAGCAATACAGACATAACTGCAGTTAGTGATGCTATGAAATGGGAATGCTGATAGTAACTGTCTTGGCTCCTTCAAACCTTCTACTTTGAGGGTAATTTTGATTCATAGAAAAACCAGATGGATGATTAAATTCGTTTAATAACCTATTCGTTAGTATATCTGCAACGATTTTCTCAATTTACTTTTACAAGAATGCAAAACAGAATAGAGGCTATAATCTAAAAGGCACAGTACTAGATTTTCATTCCACACAATTAACTTACCATAATGTCTCCCTTCAAAAGCTGGGCTGGCTCTATAGCAATGCAGATGCGACTTTGATTTTCTGGCCCTACGCTACTTAACAGGAGAGAAGAAAAAAGAAAAACAAAATTTATGTTTTAAAGAAACAAATAAGAAAACAGATTAAGTAATTCTGCAATTGTAAGAATTAAAAACTGGATTTACACATAAAGAAAATGGCTAAGACTTACTATATTCCTGATGTATAAACTGGTTGCATAGCCTGGTATATCTTCAGAAAAGGCCGACAAACTGAAAAGAAGTTAACAGAACAGACCATTTTTGTAAATATTTTCCTTTTCCTTAATATTATAATTTCATGCACATCCAGACTGAGCAAGGGGGCATACAAGTGGCACAACGTTGACTGTCAAAACATCTTTCCAGGGAAAATGGATTTTGGTAGCTTCATTTCCCCCCAAAAGAGTTTTTCATTATATTTTCTAAACAAAGTCAAGTTTTTCCCTGCTCTCCAGGTTATTTCTGAATTGGGTGAGGGGAGGACCTTAGAAGATGCCATCAGAAAAAAGACAGGGAACACTTTGGTCATTATTAAATGCCTTTTTTTTCCTTCCCATTTTTCTACAGGAAAATAAAATGAACAAGGGAAGGAAGAGAATGGCCAAAAAAAAAAACCCAAAAAACAACATAAAAAGCATTTTCAAAAACTAAATGAAAAACTTATTTCACAATTTTATTCCAAAACTAGAATCTGACTTAAATCTCAACTACAGTAAACAATGCTTTGTCTTTATTGAAACAGTTATTTAAAAAAACAACACAGCCTAAACAACAATGACGACAATGGAGCATCATAGACTCATACCGAGGACATTTCAAAAGACAGGTGCTATGTAACTCTTGGGTGATATAGAGAAGATGCTGTACTACTACACTGTGTGATAAGCTCCAGTACATCGTCTTGGTTTAGTATTTTAATTTTAAAGCTGCTGATTACAGCAGGCCACCTTAGAAGGCCACCATATCTGAACAGCTTTTCTACAAAAAAACCCATCTCAGAACAGGAAGGAGAAGATGTGAGCAGGAAGACATTTGCCCAGGAAACATGAGCACGTTCTCGGGTCTTTTCGAGGAACCGGGAGCCCAACAGTTCAGAAGCAAGGCAGACTGCTCTAGCATCATCTATACGTTCAACAGAGGAGAAAAATTTTGCTAGACCTTCTCGTGCATGTCCTGCATGCTCTTTTACTGTTAGGGTATTTCTCTTCTCCCAGTTCTTTTATTGGTAAGATTTGGACTGATATCAAGGAGCATCAAACTCTGACTTTGAGATGCAGACACAATTTCTGGAAAGCTCGAAAGTGAATCAAGACTTTGAGCCTATGCTTGAATATGAAAAATTAGATAATTTACCTCCTCCAGCATCGAAGCTTGGGATGCCATGAAGGACAACATAGTGCAGGAAAAGAGGGGTTGTATTCATTTTCACAGATCCAGATAGAAGGCCACTTAGAAATTGGACATATCTAAAAAACATAAAATTTGTCTAAATTAAATAAAAACAGAAATGTAATCATACCAGGGAAACAGACTCTTTACACATTAATATTTCTAGCCCATGAATCATGACTAGCATTTTGTCATGACATGCAACTCCAAAAAGAATAATCTTCATAAAATGGCATGAAAAGACACTTTAATTTACCAGATTTTAAAATCCATGGCTATTACGTTACTATTGCAGAGGTCTTTATTTTACTTATTTACACCATTACTCTAAATAAGAAAGAGCTAGTAAAGCCAATCAGTTCAATACACATTTCTAGTTACAATGAAGGTTTGAACTATTTTCACAATAGCATGAAACGCGTTCCACTCCATTTACAGTGAAGGGCACTTCATTTAAACAAGAGCAACAAGTGCCCTTGTCAGAAGTCTTAGCATAAAAGCCACTGTAGGCAAATAACACCTTTATACTGCAAAGTCATCTCTTCCAGTGCTGAATAAAGGAAAAATGCCATAGCAACGTGAAGATCTTTGTATTGCTGCTATTTAATAACTGCTTTGGTCATAAGCTCACAAGCAAGTACATGCAGGAGGACACCATTGCTGCGTGTTAAAAAAAAAAAAAAATCTTCTTATCTCCTTAAATAACCAAGAGAAATCAGTCTCCTTTTATTTTTCTCCTGTTTTTGAGTCCGTTTTTCTTCTATGCCTATGACATAACCTTCATTTAACTTCACTCTCAGGTACGTACAAAAAATAAATCACCTCCCTTTCCCCCTTTACACACAAATTTCACTAACCCGTTCCCTACTGCTCAACTCCTGGTATCACCACAATTAAAGATACCCTGCCCAGCCATGACAGCTCTACTACCCCAGAACGGGGGTTGTGGTGGTTTTGAAGGGATTTCTCTTTATACACAGCTAGCAAGGGTGCTTTATTTTGAAATGTTAGAAGTCAGCTCTGCTCTTCCTTTTCCCTCTTCAATCTGTCTGAGAACGCTGCAGCAAAAGCATCCGCTTAAAACTTGCCCGCACCTGCATAACAGCAAACACTGGGGCAAAACATCGTGTTAGCCATCACCCAGTCTGAACAGTCTCTCCTTATTACCACCTGTTTTTAATTATTTCAAAAATTTATCTGAATTCTTGAACCTTATTCAGATAGTGTATTTAAGATGCTTATGGGCAGTTTACTTTTTTTGAGAGGTGTTTTCAAGTAAATTGAAGATTTGTATACAAGTTTTATATACGAAGGCTCCATATCTGCACTTACTCAGGGAAACCCTTCAACTGCAACGTCCAACAGTATTGACTAAGTATTTCCAGGAGATGGATTCAAAGTACGAGTTCTGAAGTCTATAGCATGGTTGCTGTCTTGCCACTGTTAGAGCATCTGACCAGCAGTGAGGAAAAGATAAGCGGTATTTTTGGACTGATGCATCTGATGACCACAATTTAATTCTGGGGACAAAATTTAGTGGAGAAAAAATTGCAAAATACAATAATGGTGTATTTTCACATGATATCAACTTTGAGACCAAATCAACTTTCACCTGAATTATACCTATTTATACATCAACTGGCCTTTAACAAGGACATGACTCTTTTATTATCCAGCAACAACTTCAGTGGAAAAGCATATTAAAAAGGTGATTCAGGCCATTAGTTGATCAGCTTGGAGTCAGAAAGGATTACAGAACTAGCCAGGAACATTATAGAGTTGGTTTTACCTTTCTCTGCAAAAAGATTACCTGCCACTGCCTGAAGCAAAGGCTAGGCTTGGCAGGACACGGTTTGGAGTCCATCCTCTGTTCTCATGGGGAGAGAGGCTCCCAAGCACATGCACATATACGTGCTTGGAAGACAGTCAGCTCAAGTTCAGTATTGCTGAGCAAAGATGCTAACTCCATCCCTCCGAAAACAAACCGAGTCCCTCCTGGAGACCCTAGAGGAACTACGCAAGTCTCCTAGAAGGGGATGCCAAACCAAGATAGCACTGTTTACACCTATTTTATCTCTAGCTTTAGGGCTCACATACAGTTCAGCTAAGCCAGTAGCTACTGAAGCTTCCTGTCAACATGGCTGTAAAAACTGCCACGAGGCACAGGTCACAGAGGATGTGGTGAGAATCCTTCCACAGAAACGTGTCTGCCGCAGGGGTGTTCATTTAAAATCGGAACTAATGTATAAGTGCACTAAGACCACCCCTTTCCTTTTGCTCCTACTATTTGTGCCTCTGTATCTGGTAGGCATCACACTCAAATCTTGTTTTATTCAAATACAAAGTGCATACACGCAGGCATAAAACTGAAAGAATAATGAGGTCAATGAACTTCTATTTATGAGAAGTTTATTTAAAGTCTAATGAGATACCATGTTGTTATTTCTCACGTGAAAAACAGCTGTACAGGTCACCAAATGGGTTCAAGAGGCAATGGGAAAGCTTTTCTTATTTAGACAGGAACAGAATCAAATGCCATCTGCACATTATTACTATATATTTTTCTAGTTTGATTACTAGCAAAGCCTTATCCTTTAAACAATTTCTAAAAAACTAATGTATACGTGCTAATCAAAACCAAAAGCAATCCATAGTACTAGATCAAACCCAATGGATATTTTATGTTTCTAAAAGAAGATTCAGCTATACCACAATGAGTTGTCTTGATGGATAACCAAAGACTGCTTCCCTCTTTTGGTACTGAATCCTTCACTACCTCACTTCAGAGTAAGGTAAATAGCCAGCCCTAGAACCATTCACTTTTCAGATCGCTTGCTTTAAGTCATAACTCAACCTCATCCATCCAGAGAGACTGAGGATGTAAGACATCCAGATAGGCAGAATACATAATATGTGCTTTGACAAATATACTAGCGTGGACATGGGATGGCTGCATAATCTGCAGATCCTCCAAACACATGATAATAAGATCTTTATTGTACACTAATCAACATGCATTCCATACACACATTTATGCTACAGAAAAATGAGCTTATTATTATCTTAGAGCAATTAACAAATGGATTGTGACATCTCCTTTTGCTAACAAACAACGCAATAAGAACGCATACAGATAACAGGGTGGTACAAAAGGTCTTATCTATGCTGGGCTACGTGCAGGAACTGAAGCAGAGATCTCATCAATCAAGGAAGATTAATATTAGATAAAGTGCTGAGAGTTCAGGAATCACTGGAGGATCTAGAGGAAACAGCCTTCACACAGCGGGGGAGAGAGTAAGGGATGGGGGCAGAAGATAACTGACATGTCTTATTTGTTGGTATGAATTAAAAGGAAATTAATTACCTTTTTTGGGATGGCTGCATTAACGCTGAAACTTTATCATCAAAGAATTTCTTCATAGCAAATCTGTCTAGAGCCTGATCAGCACTGTCAAAACAGAGACACAGATACCATGTTATTCCAGCTTGGGGTTATCTTGGAAATTCTGCAGGTTACAGCTTGAAATATGCCAACAAATACTAGGAAAAAAAAATACCTAGGTAACTAGCAACCCCAGAACTTACAGGTCAGACAGGAATGTTTTTTCCACTGACACCTTCTCATTCCATGCCTTAAGGCAGTTTCCTTCCTGGGGCAAAGCACCTACTCCCTTATTCAATTATTTGGATTGTACATTCCCAACATGAGTATGTTAAAGTTACAATGCAATAAATTTCAGCAAAGCCAAAGCAGCTCAGGCTGTAAAAGAAGGATACCTGCCGCCATTTCCTTATAGTGTCATTTGGGGAGTTTTCTCTGTGAAATGCACATTTATTCTCTTTTTAAACAAGAAGTAATAACATTATGGAGATGAAAGCCATTCCCCAGCTCTGGTTGTAGCACAGTATATGAGCAGAGGATCTTTTAAGCAGCCCAGCAATTTATTCAATCTTTGTTTCCTGTGCCCTGAGCCACCAAGGGAGAGAATGTTTTAAATAAAAACACTGGTCTTTGAAAAAGAAAGGCTTTGTGTCAGGCAACCACAAACTCTTCCAACATACAACTAAGGAGCAACATATTCAGCAAAATACTTCCAATCTCTATCCAGAATGGGAATGGCTCTGATGTGGGTCTTCTGTATCTGTGTAGGAGAAGGCAAGAGGGTACAGAAAAAAAAACAGACGTGCCAAAAATCTGTGAGAATGCTAATAATTATACATCCCAAGTAACACACTATGCTGACTCTGCTGTATCAACACTGCCTTAAAAACCCATGTGTTTATTAATGGATGTAGTTGATAATATTAACTAGCATCAGGACATAAAACAAGCAGATGTTCCAAAATAACTAAACTCTCCAGAATCTCAAGTTTTAAATTCCAGGCTTAGTTCGATCTAAAGGAGTTCCAAGAGAAAAAAAAAAAAAGAAAAAAAGAAAAAAAGCATACACATATCAGGCTAAAAATTGAATTTACTGATTTTCCAAAATCAATCAGAAATTACTGATTGTCCTGATGGTGCTGCATCAGACTGTAGAGTCATGTTTTTTCTTCACGGGTGTTTGAAGATTCCATAGTATGCGACTAGACTAGCTTTCTCCCAGAAATTCACTTCACTATCTCTATGTTCGTGTAACAATCCATCTGCTGTACAAGAGAGCATCATTTCATTGGAATCCTCTTTGTGAGGAATTTCTGTAGCATTTAAGAGATATACAGTTTACCTCAAAATGACACACACGCGTATTGCCAGCCCCTTAGCCATCGCTCTGAAAGAGGAACATATTCCTTCACATGTAGCCCAGAAAACATCAGAATCTCTTGTACATACACGCATATGTACTTGTATGCGGTGTGGTTGTACAAGGCTAATAAGGACGGTACCGGCACAAAACAAATTTGGTAACTGCTGTGCTATGCATGTAGCATGAAATGTTGCAGGATAAAACAAGACATTAAATTTCACAAATGCACACATACAAAACGCACATAACCAGCACTATTTTAAGTCTCAAATATTAAAAAAGAGCAGTAATACTGAACATTTTACACTTCAGTAAAGACTGCCCATGTTTTTCCACTGCTTTTTAAACACTGCTTAAAATAGTTGAAATTCCACTTCACATAGAATAACATTCAAAATGACCTAGTTGGAGAAATCTGCCCTTTCCAGATCTCTCAACTGCTGATTGATGTGTCATTTCTTCAGATGATTACTGAATGCTGAATTATGTTCTTCCTGTCTTTTACCTAAAAATTATATGTGTATATGCACACATACAAAGTAAACCTGCATGCACACACTATTTTACATACGTATGTATTATATAGATGCCATAGAATAATAAGCTGTAGGATAAAAACTATTATCTTACAGCATTTCATATTCTTATTAACTGGTGTGACATGATCTCAATGTCTTGCATCACATACCTTCACCCACACTACCACCCACAATTTAAGCATCCCACTCTTAACTGAACTGGCCAAAGATTTTTGGTTCTTTACTTGTTAGAACAAAGTTTAACAACTATAACCCAGAGTTTGCTTTGCCCTAGTTAAATTTGGCTGCACATTAGTCTTTCCTAAATGGGAAAATTAGATATTTATAACATAAAACCCAAAGGCACGGCAACCAGGCATGTTACTTGTAGCTATAAAGATTTTTTTCCCCCCCCATCTTCCCTTATACAAATATGTTTACCAAAAAAAAAAAAAAAAAACCAGGAGCAGTATTTTCTCCATGTTTAGAATATATTTCATAACTGTTACTTAGCATAACACTTAAAACTTAAGTTTTACTACTTAACATCGAACTGTTACCAATATCAAAAGCATTCACTTGAAACAAAAAAGTTGCAGCTGCTTTTATTATATTCATAAAAGTAATCATTAAGAAACCTCACACAACACTGATACACGCACAGCCTTTACAATACAAGGCTTTGTTTCTAAATCCTGGACTTTGATATATGCATGGGGGCAAGTGGGAACTCTTTAGCGTGAAGGATCCTCAGACCCATTGCTCTGAGCACTGTTTCTGGCAGGGCAACCAGCACCCTCAGCAGCAGCATCTGCATGAACTCTTGCTATCGTGCTGTTGTTGTGTACCATTCTAAAAAGCCCTGATAAAACTAGTGACATACAAACCCTACTCAGGAAATGTTTTTCCCCTCAGACCCCATCAAAACACAGGAAAGTTAAGTTTTGGATAGGAGCTACCAGACAACCAGAAATTTAAATGAGGATTTCTACTCTCTCTCTCCTCCCTTGCAACCCTAGCTGGAGGAATCCAGAATGTATTTTAGGTAAAAGATGGCATCTTTCATCACTGGGCATTACACCACTGTATCAGACATTCTGCTCTGACATCACTAAAACCGATTTAAAGCAAGGTACCACCTTTAAAGAATGATACGATACTGCAACACAGATGACGATACAGAGCTGCAGTATCCTCACTTAGCAGATCTTTTGTTCACAATACTTCTCAACAAAATATTAATATAAAATGGTGGCAGTCATAGTCCCAATTACTGCTTGAAAACAAACGTATTACTTTATTTTTCCAACATATATTGGTGTGTGTAATACTTAACTGCTTAGTCTACATTTATCTATCAGGTTTATCAGAAACTATCAGGTTTCATCAGAATAAAAGTAAACTAATTTCTGAGAACCTGGTTTCACTGAAGTCCATGAGAAACTTGCAATTAACATAAAGAGATACAGATTTCATCTGCTGCAGCACAGGATTACACCCATGACTGAAAGGCTGGTGTAAATTCAAATTAAAATATCACTTAACCATGGCCTTTACAGTGCAATTTTACATACATAAGTAAAAAAAAAAAACGAGACCAAAGGAAAAATATAGAATTTAATCACAGGAAGGTTCCATCCTTTTGACAGCATTTATCAAACTTCCTGTTTATTGACACAAGCGGTCGACTGTCATTTCAAGTTCTGAGCATTCTAAAAGAAACAGTGGCAAAACAAAACAAAAACATCAAGAATTTGGACTCCTATTCCTTGAACTGATTGGAGACTTGCTCCTGCAAGATTAAGCCCAGGTTAATGCATTCTGCATTTTGATCGATGTCTGGGAAACCCCTATTCAATGGCTGTTGAAACTAGCCATTTCAGTTAGCATGTTCCAGTTTCTAATAACTGTTTTCCTCAAGCACTTTAGGAGTAGTTTCTCTTTAAGAGTGACATAAGTTACAGAAATTGATACTTTTGATGGAATAAAGATGGCATCGGTATATAAAAAAAAAGTTTCTTGCACGTCTTTTCATTCATGTAGAATGACCCTTTAGAGATTTTTCCCATAGAATCCTAGAATAGCTCAGGTTAGAAGAGACCTCAGGACACCAGCTAGTCCAACCCCCTGTTCAAAGCAGGATCAGGAGAAAAGTCTGTTATTGAAGTAGGCTGTTTTAATATATGCGCCAAGGCCCTTGAGAAACCAAGCTGACAAATCTTAAGTGAGTAATTGAACAGCACTGCCATTAAGAGGCATCTTTTTCTGATTTTCTGATCCCTGATTGTAAAAACACACAATACACAGTTCTTTCCATTACTCACACCTTACCTTGCAGACACATTGGTGAAGTGCATATACGATGATATGACTACGCCTATCCTTCCTTTTCCTCCCTGTATTAGGAAAAAGGGAATGATAACTTATTTAATATGTACTGCACATTATTGGCTATTAATTAAGACCCATACTAAACAAAACCTTAGACAGGAAGATCCAGAGACTCCTTTTGGTCAAGCATCTCCTATGTTGTTGTAAAGGTGGTAATGATGGACAGCGGCTTGCCTCTTCATCGCAAGGTGGCTGACAAGTGACATAAAAAGTGCCAAGTGGGATTTCTACAGATATGCCAGTCAGGTCCTACTGACCGAGAGGAAGGCTTGCACAAAGGGATCCCAACACACTCACTCAGCAAAGCCCACATCTAGCTCTTTGGCAGTGATGACCTTTTCCCATCATGCAATTTGCATTAATCCTTCTCCTCTATGGTGAGAGGTCTCAAACACAGAGGAAAAGAGTTTAATGGGGCAGACTAAGAGATGACTTCCCTATATCCTACTGAATCTTTAATATCAGAGCCTCCATTCCTTGCATACGCTTCAAAAAGTCACCCAGCTCATGACCTCCCAATTCTTCACTCACATTCAAGAACGGTGTTAAGTAAACACAATAAATCTTATATATGACTAGCCATATTATTATTTTCTTATTTCTTTTGAATTTAAGATTCAGTAAGTTTAACAGATTTAAGCTTTTTCATTTTTAATTTAAATCTATGAATCCATCGCTTTCTTTTCTTTCAACTTTGAATTATTTCTTAAATAGAAAACTTTTTATATGCTTGGTATCTTTTCATACGAAAACAAAGCTATAAATTAAAGGAAAAAAAATCTTGAACAGTAGCAGGAACATTCTATCAGCTATTTTAATTTAGTATTACTCTTTCCAGAGATCATTATTCAAGACAAGTCTAGACAATGTTGCAATTTCTGGCATGATGTACTACAAAATACGGATTTTGGAAAGCACATGATTTCTGACAGGTTTTGGCATTTTTAACCTCCTCCTCCCCCTCAGCACCTGAAACTTATAATAACTATCGCTTATTTTTCTATAGAGTATTTCAAAAATGTTTCAAAACCCTACTAAATAGTTTACGTGTCTTAAATTCAGTACAAATTATTGAGTGGCAATTCTCACTGGTTTCAAGATGCTTTCAGACTTTCAGTTGACACAGGACAGCTACATCTATCCCGGTGGGAAATTTTGAAGTCATTACCAAAAGGAATTAATCAACAGTTATACGTTACCATTTTGCATATAAAATGCCAAGCAACTTTTTTTTTTTTTTTTTAAACTGAAAATGCAGTTATGACCAAAAAAGCATCATGTTCTCTGTATTGTGCCATTTCTTTTGTGGATTTTCCTGCTATCGTGTCACCACATATGAGCCATTCTCCTGGCTGCAGTCCTGCAGTTGTTAAGAAATCAATGGTGTCACTCCAGCACAGCTGCCAACTCAGTTCTGAATTCATACTACCTATTTTTATTAACATTTCTTTCTATTTCTCTTTATTTTGAGCAAGTGAGCAGAAGGTGAAACCTTGCACTACTGCAATTACACAGTTAGAAGCTGTCTGAGCCCAGAAGGTATTTAATGCCCTCGTTTCCTACTGACTACAACCACAGCCCACTCGAAAGAGATTAGCAGCCAGTGTAGCCACTGGCCTATATACCCAACACTCTGAGCCACGTTTTTCAATATGGACACCAAAACAAGGTCCAAAGAAAGGTATTCAGTTGTGACAGTAACTGCCTGAACACCCAGTTTTGCATACTGAAGGCAGTTTGGACACTTACTTTTATTGATCTGTGAGCTAGACTCAACTGACTGAAGTGAAGCCTGTGAGATGTTGCTACCTCATACAGCAACAAAATCAGTAAATGCCACAGAACACGAAAGGCTTCTAAGGAGTTTGCTATTGAGTTGGAAAATCTCAAGCCTCTAAATATGCTCACAGATGTAGCATTGACCTTTGAAGGAAATAAACTAACATCACACTGCATGCTATGTCCAGAGTACATGCGGGAACCTTAGCTATCGTAAAGAGGTGTAGATAACATAAGCATGCACGGTCAGTGGACTTAAGGCTAGTTAAATCAACTGAGAATTTACTACACAGTTTCCAACACTAAAAACAGAGGGTTTTTTTTTTTTTTTAAATATGAGTAAGAATAAAAGGCAAACTTTGAATATGAATTCAGACTGATAGGCAGTAAGTACATACAAAGCTCACTTACTCTGCAATGGATCACCACCACATGTTGGGGATCGCTGTTCAGCCATGACTCCATAGCCTTGCAGATGGTGCACACCTTATCGAGAGGTGGAGCATGGAGATCAGGCCAGCCCACATCCATAATCTGCAATCAAACAGAGAACTTTCACAAGAAATACCCTGTAGCACTACATATTCTAATTCTAGATTCAAACATTATGATGACAAAGAGTCTCCTCACTTCTTCCAGCGCAAGAGAACCATGCCACAACTATATTACTTTCTAATGCCATGATGTAAGCAAAATATCTTTGCAGGTCTCTTGGTGGGGAGAAGCGGGTGTTCTTGTCTTGAGAGGTTTCTTTTTTTTTTTTTTCCTCTCCAATATTGACTAGTAATTTTGTCCAAAAAACCCACTGATTTGTCAGATAAAATTTCTGAAGATCTTGATTTCCGAGTGATTTTTAAATTAGAAATTCAGGTATTTTCAAAAAACATTTAGATGTTAAAATTACAACAAAACTTTGGCTGAGCCGGTCCAATTTTGTGATGGTTTCTAATTAGCTTGTGTGGGCGGGTTTTCTCCACACACAACAGATTTGATGTATCAAAATTTTGTTCATAGTTTCCATTTACCTTTAGTTGCTTTAAAATACTGTTTATTCGACCCATTGTTACATATGCCTACTTAACAGTTTACAATATTTAACCCTACCAAGAACAGTAATAATGAATTATTTAAGCTCCTTGCAAGCATTCAAGAAAATAGCCTACGTGTCAATGTTAACAGTATTACTAATATTTTCCTCAGGCATCTTACATCCCTGTAAAGCTACTGCTATAAATACATAGCTGTGCTCCTCTGGCTTTATAATGCTTGATTAAGTCTCTACTGTGCAGAGAAGTAACTGTGAAAAGTTAATACAAAAGCAAAGTTTGTATTTGAACTGAGTTCACTAGCTTCAGTCATCAGACTATATACTACAATATATGACCCTTAATATCCCACAGGCATACAAAGAAAGTACACTTGGAGTAAAATTGACTTCACTCAGTAGGAATTTTTTCAGTAGCCTCAGCAGGCTTTCCTTGTGGTCCAGTGTGCAAAGTCAAAGAAAAAAATAGAAATAGCTTTGTGAAGCACAGATCTAACAGGCACAAAGCAGAACTTGGGGGAAAAAAAAAACTGAAAGGGAGGCACATGTGGTTTTCTAACGTCTTCCAAAACTTGTTATCTTACTCTGTACATCAGGGCTTGTATAGCTTCAGGGCTTATCAGGCCATTTAAGTTGCATTTAACACTAGCAGGAGAGGTATGTCATGGAAAAGAACCAATACCTTTGGGTTAAGCTTGGCAAGGTCATATCTCTTTTCAGAAAGGTTTAACACCTGTTCAGAAAGAAAGAAAAAAAATAACCATTGAGGCTTCATAATTTATGCAGTAAATCACTGTATTTGAAACACATGATAATTAGAAGAAATGATAGTGGTAGGGCTTCAGGCTGCTGTTTTACTGAACCAAATTAACATTTAAAGTCAGGTAACGCAAGCAAATGTATTTTAGGTGCTCCCCACAGTAAGTTCAGAAATTATAAGACGAAATTAGGGATGAAATTAAACTGAAAAATGACAATAAAATCCTGCATCATTTTAATTATTTGTTATTGTTTTACTTTAGTCAAAGGTATAACGAAAGACCTTGGGCATCATGCAAAATTGCTGTACTAAGCAGGAAAAATAAAAAATACATGTATGAGGGTGGCACAGTCCCATATGTTTGAATTTGAGTGCCTGCCATGAATGAAGTTCATCAATGAGACCTTCACAGGGAAGATATAGCCTAGCTATTTAGCTGTAACTTGGCCTGTGAAATATCCCAACTCTTCTGTTAACCTACAGACAGTAAGCTATCATACAGTTAGTCCTTAACAAGGAGACAGATTGATAAACGAACATAAAGCAGGGCATACAAGTATGTTTGACACTTTCATTAGGAAGTACTTCTAACCAGTATCAAACAATAACACTAGGACTGAACAACTAAAATAGGGCCACTGAGCCAGATTCTCATTCATAATACGGCTTTTTATATCACTCAGAGCTAAACATAAATGATATTCATAATCATTTTAAAAGTCTCATTATGTTGTCAGAATGGGAGAAAAAGGGCACAAACATAAATGAGAGAGAAGTTCATTATATACTTTACTATTACCTATGGACAAGTTAAGGACCCTTTTCTAATAAGTACATCCCATCTGGAATTAGCTAGCACTCTCATCAGCAGTCTCAGCAAAGCAGCCTAACAGCGAAACAGGTCAAAGAAGTGAAATCATTTCGTCTCTGGAAACCAGCGCCTGGTGCTCACTGAGGTGGTAGCTTGAAGAAACTTACCATGCAGCCACCTCATAGAGACGGCAAAAACAGGAAACCGTAACACCATCTTCAGGGAAAATGACACTTTTTTTGAACAAGAAATTCACCCAAAGAAAGAAGAAATCCTGAAAATTAGCAAGCAATACGAAAAAAAGAGCTTGTATTTTAAACTGCGTAAGTGTCTGGAAATACACAGGAGCGTAAATGGCACACACCACTTCCACCAAAGTCAAACCATAAGAAGAAGGCTTAAAACATCCCTATATGATTAGGAAATAGTCTTTATTCCAATATCCTGTTTGCATTTTAAACAGATCACTGCTGAAGAGAGAAACCACAGACAAAAACTTACATGCGCGTTTTCTTCCATAGCAGTTTGGATGAGGGAGTGTTCTATGTAAGTGACTAAGAAAAACTGATTTTTCTATTAGCTTCAATATTTACTATATACTATAGCAATTTAATGGAAAGCTGTATTCTCAATACAGAATTCTTAAAATTTTCTTTAAGAGTGTGTAAGATAAATTACCTAAGAGTTTTTCCACAGGAAAAGTGCTATGGTAATTTTGCAAGAACTTTCATTCTTTATTCATTTATACTCATTAGCTTGCTATATTCATATTTAAGATCAGTTTAAAATTCTTGTGTGTCAGGATATGGCCGTGTTCATGGTGGATATTTGTCACTGCTGCATCAGATGCCAAACTCAAAGATGTCCTGTTACTCAAGTCTCTACCAAGCTATGCAGTAGCAGAGATCAGACTGGGATACTATAGGAGTTCTGTCTGCTCAGAAGGGAGATCAGAAGCTAGAGGAACCAACGTTTCATGCAAGGAAACAAAATAAGAGGTCACTGAAGGCTTTGAACATAAGTACATGCTATAAAAAGATGCAAGTCAAAGATCAATTGCATCCTTTTTAGCTGCTGCTTGATATATCCAAGGTCTGTCTACTTGCATGTTGTAGAGCAAAGAGAAGCATCAGCCTTCAATTTTCTAAAATTTAAGTGATTTTGTCCTCAATTTTAAGATCAACATTTTAAAAAATAAAAAAGCAGCAATATATCCTCCTTCTTGTACACAGCAGAGAGGAAGACTCCCCTAGCCCCCCCATACATGATTCAATGCTGGCCCGAGAAGAAGCTTTTACAAGGGACGTAACATTAGTTCTCTCACTCTGCTGAACGTTCGCTAACACCTTAGAACAAAAATAAGAGACCTTTTAGCTGGAGAAGGCCAGTAGACCTTTATGAAGGCACTGAAGAGTGAGACGTTTGGCTTACTCTTTAATCAGATGACCAGAAGTACAAAATCACGTGCCAGAGAACAAAAACAAAGAGCACATGGCGGCAATTTGGGGAAGCGAGGGAGGTCCCTGTGGTCCTACGAGACCACAGGCTGAGTGGGGAACAACTCACCAGCCTGCAGCCTGCTCCGATAAGGGGAAGAGGCTGGGAGAGCAGGTAGGCAACACTGTTCTGGGTGGGACCACACCTGCCTGCTGGAGATCAGTGTTGAAGGCCTCGAGTTGAGAAAAGAGCAGGGCAAACGGAGGGTTTCTGTTACATAGGTAGTTCAAAACGAACCCTAAGCAAAAATTACCAAACAGTTCCATCTAGCAAGCAACAGCAGCATACAAGTTTGACTCTATCATTTACATAGGCAGGACCAAGAACACGCACAGCAATGTTATGATATTCTATCCAAAAACAAATACCTGTATGTTAAAATTTTAAGGTAATGACTGAAATGTTTTTATAAACGGTAGTAGCGGGTTTGAGGTTTGTTTTGCTTTTTAAGAAAAGAACTAACCACAAAATTAGAGAATAGTATTTACAGGCAGATTCTGAACGCCCGTGACGCAAATGAGTTATTGCTCATCAGCTGCTCTGTACGCTCCCATGCTCGTACCTGTCTAACGAGAGTGAGCTAATTTATAATACTTTACTCTTCAAAGTACCCTTTCAGTTACTGTAGATACAGAAAATGTAACCAGAGCTCACCAACAGAGCAACAGACATAACTTGTTTATTTATCATTGCTCTAAATCTCTATCAAGAGAACTGCTTTGGCAACCATAAATAATAAACATTGAAATAAAACCTGTTAGAGATAGTGAAAAAAGTATACGTAGTCATGGACCTTAAACAGTAAAGCGTTCTTTTTCAGGAAACAAGTGCAAAAAATCAGACTAATAAGCTGATAATGAATTTTTTTTTTTTTTTTTTAAAGAGCTCAAAATATCTGAACAATTGAGCACTACTTCTGTCCTACAAGTGTAACGCACAGCAGACTTTTTAGTCAATATTACAGGAGAAATTCATTACTGAAGTTGTTCAAAACATTAACATAATGGCAAATTTATTTATGCAAATTGAATCTTTCACACTGCTGTTCTCTTTTTTTTGAGAGATTTTTGCACTATGTGTATTTTGAAAGTACTTTTGGAAAACAGCTTGTTTGGAGTCAAGCCTATGAATCTTTCCTTGCAATAAAATATGCATTCCTCTGTACCTGACGGGCCATCTTATTAGGTAGGGAATAAAAGGATGATTCATTCTATCCTTTAATTCTCCTTACTTTGAAGAGTTTGGGTTTTCAAGTAAGTATTTGTTGCAGAAAGGATCTGTCAATGAAAATACATTGCATGAAAGCAAACATATCAATGCGCTACTGTTTCTTGGCCACTATAAAGATTATTTTTTAACAATGCTATTATGGAATACTTTATCCCTCTCAGTTCTTTCTTTTCTCTGTCCAATTCAAAGACTCTTAATTCATTATAAATGCAAAACAATAAAATTAAAAAAAAAAAAACCTTTTGCTGTTTCTGATACAAAAGCTAGCTTTTTATAAAAGGCTATTAGCATTTAAAGAATAGCTCTTTTACAACTCTGCATGAATACAGACACATCACCTGGATCACTCTGGTTAAAAACCTTGGGTTTTTCAATGTGACTTCCCTCTGCTGACCAAGACCACACACATACAAACACAAAAAATGACACAGACATTACACAAATTCAATTTTGAAAGTTTTCACTGCTGGAGAAAAGTCTGAGTTCTTCTGAGAATCGTTTAAGTTAAAAAGAAAAATTTTTTTCTTTCTTAGGATAACAAAGCAGAGCAAAGAATAGCTTAAGCTACGGAGAGGCTTCTATCTCTCCATAAATGACTCTGCTCTTTGACTATCAAAGTATAATCTCCTACTGCTAGAGTAAAGTAAATATTTGTGATTTTTTTAAATCATATTCTTTGTAATTTACTGCGACTAAAACAGGCAACAACATGCCCACTTAATTCTTTGGCTGTTTCATTCCTCTTCTCTGTCTTCGCTATCAACTGTAGTGACAACAGCTTAACACATAGAAAAATCAAAAGGGAGAATAACTAGGTACGAAACAGTAAATGCTGGTTTATACATATGCTCTGCCAGCTGAGGTCCTAATCCAATAAAAGAGTAAAAGCTTTCTCATCAATTTCAGTAGAATTGCTCACTTTGTACCTTTTTTATGCTATACAAGCGCCTCTGGGACACACTGAAGGGGTCTTTGAAGCAAGAGAAACAAAAGATATTGTTTAAAAATGAGCTCTCCAGCTCTACAACTTGGCCGCGGTTTGCCACAGGGAATCAGGCATACTTTGCAAATGGATTTCCAAAGCACTGGCTAGAATAAAAATAAAAAAGCAAAACTTTGCAACAGAAATTGATTGCAACCCCTCTTAGGGGGAGGGCTTCTTCTCACCCTAAAAAACAAACCAACCAACCAACCAGCCCTCACCATAAGCACGTCAGATAAGCACATCAGCTACTTAATGAGGTTTAAGTGGACAGAGACTGCAAACTTATTTCGCAAATACCAAAATAGTGCTATCGCATGGGAAAGGCTACTGACAGCAGGTGAATTTAAACTCAAAGCTTTCTGTCCAGGTCACCTGCAAACTATTACTGTCTTGTGTTTTACAAGCTACAAGTGTCTGATGGAACAGAAGCAGAGGGCAAGAAGGGAGTGTGCTGAGGATGCAAAATAATATTACAAGTATTACAACGGCATCCTGAGGATGAATAATGTGTTTATGTGTTTATCTCTGTCTGTAAGCAAAGGAAAATATATTTTCATTGTTAGGTGAAATCACTCCAGAAACTAATTTCTGTAATGACTCAAGTTTATGTTCCTGAAGCTGTGGATTTGATTCTAATAGTTTACACATGTTGACTAAAAACGTACTTAACAGAAGCAAGTTAAAAAAAATTACGGCCCTGCTTTAAATTCCCATTCAGAGAACAAATTAGATGATCCATGCCACAGGGATTAGATGTATCAGGCAGAAAATAGCATAAGAAAATAATAGTTTGGGTCATCATAAAAAAAAAAAAAAGAATCAATACTGTATATGAAGCTCATCAGAAATCTGCTTGTGACTTAATTCTCTGTAGAAAAATAAACAGCAGGAAAAAATGGACCTACATCAAGTTTATAAGAAAGAGCTGGACAGAACACATAAACAGCAACCCTACCTTTATACACTGTTTCACAAACAACAGCAGACAGCCAAGGCCTGATGGTGAGAGACCATCAGATACCTAGCTGAAAATCCAGATGTTACTGACTGCTAGAAGAGTGTATTCTATAGTGTGACATGTGGATGTTTGAAGAGCATACTTTGCTCAATGAAAACAGTCCTTACAAGTAATCTACAGCATTTGACTTTTGGCACTACCGAAATAGAGACTGCAGTGCCACCAATAGGAAAGTGCTTTTAGTATCTGTCCTTGACTAACAGCATAAAACACTACTGGAAATCTTGCTCTTCCTTGCAAAGCTGTAAACATGGACCAAGGAGAAATTAGATGAGTGATGTTTAATTTATAATGGTATAAGTGAACCTACAAGTCATCCTCCTGCAGGATAGAGGAGGAGGCAGAACAAACAAATAAACCTGCACGTACCAGGTAGTTATCTCCATGTTTGGATTTGAGCATTCGGGTTACATCTTGCAGATTGTGCAGGTACGTTTCCTCAGAACAGCTGGCAGGGAAGGATACAGCAATGATCCGCTCTGTGATGTAAGTGAGGTCAAGCTCATAACCTTCCTCCATAATGTGATCAAAGTCTGCGCTCCTGTGAAGAAATCAGATGCGGCAGTTCAGAACAGAGCAGCAGAGAACAAACACAACACGTTAGTGAGAAGCTGCTGCAACTTGGACTCAAATAGTGCAATCAGTCAGCATTGCGGTTCCCCATATTTTCTTTAAAATTACAATTTATGAAATGCCTATAAAGCTCCAATTATACATTATATAATTATATATTATTATTATAAAATTGAATTAGCCAAAAATCAGAGTTCTTCAAAACAACAACAGTAACGTAGAAAAGCAATAATATGAATATAAGCAACTTTGTCAAACAGCAGTGCAAAAAACGTGGGAGTTAAATTACAAAAAATAGATACCCACAGCTGCGTGAATCTATTCTTGTGCAGAACTTGGCAAACGCTTTACAATCTGGTAGACTCGCCACTAGTCTCTAAAACATTGCAGATATACACCATGCTGAAATCTGTCCCGAGTAAAATTGAGGAGAATCCAAAACTCCTCCTCAAACTGCAACAAACACCAGTGTAATGCAATTTATCTCACAGGTTAGTCTATAGATACTGTCTACTCTAATTCTGGCTTCTTCTTCAGGCTGAAGACCGAACCTGGCACCTTACCTAGTGTCCTTCCTGACACAATAATCAGGAGATCAGAGTCATTAAGTTAAGCGTAAGCTCTGCAAACATGCCTAGTTGTTTTCTCAGACAGGTATTGTAAAATGGTCTTTGCATAACAGGCCATTTCTTTCACAAGACTGATCTTAGAAAAATCCAAAGCACAAACAGCAAAACCTAAAAGCACCATAGCATTATGTGACACTACTACACAAAACATTAAGAAAGTACTTACCGTGATACTTTGTCACAACAGAAAGATGAGCTTTTTGAAAAACTGCTGGAATTCTGAAACAAGCAAAAGCAGACTGGTCAATCCAGTAGCTTCCTTGCTGCCATTTTTCCCCTCCTTTTTAGCAAAATTCATCACAGTTTGAAGTACCATGACTTAGAAAAGCGTAATGACTGTGGCTTTAGGGATCATAACTACATGAAACTCTTCCAAAATGTTATTTTTCACTACCTCTCCATCTCTCCGCTTACTAGAGGGCTTCTAACCTTTTATGCACCTTTGGAAGTAAAGTTAAATGTATTTTAATATTTTTGCTCTCCCTACAGTTCTCTACGGCCAAAAGTAGGTAAGAAAGTTAATTATCAAAGTTTGCATGATACAGCTATGTATTGCATAATATTACTGTGGCAAACTACACCAACAATGGGATAAGAGAGCATAATCTCCCTATGTTTGGATCAGATTATGTTCAGCTCTTGATACAGAACACAAGTAGATTCACTACTGCCAGAAAAAGACTAGCTGTCTAATGCAGTTGAAGCCTGTGCTTTTCTTGGTAATTCTGTGTTAAGATTAGAAAAGACATCCAATGGACTTCTGAGGAGACGGAACTTGGATTTCGGCATAAAACCTCTGACTGCAAAGAAAAGTCCTCTCAACGGATTCTCTTGTATTGAAAAATGTAAGAGCTTATATGAATTTATTCCTGTAAGCTGGCCCTGTGAGTCTGAACAAAAGCCTGAACTGCAATGATTTTGCTTTGTGAGAATTTAGCAGATGTCTTTTGTAGTTCTATTTGCTGAATAATAGTAATTAGGCATTAAAGAGCATCAAAATTTTCTCTCCCAAGAACGTGAGGGATGGAAATTCTCTCACCTAATTTAGACATCTCACAATTGAGCACCAGTGCCATTGTTACCTAAGCTCCCTTTGTATGTAACGGAGAGAAGCAGAGACATCTGCGGGGACAGTATCCCTTCCAGACAGTCGTACACGGGTTTTTTGGGGGTTTTTTTGTTTGTTTTTTTTTTTAGAAAAAAGATAGCTACTACAATATTACCATTGAATAAACATAAAAAGAAAAAAGATTTATTTTCAGATGTGTCTTTTTACACAGAAAATCAGAAGTGCACTTCGATATCATGCATCAGTAACCCCATAAAAGCTCTTTGTTCATCTTCCTGTCCCAAATTTATACTTACCGTACAGAAAAAAACAACTCATGGAAAAGTTTATATAAAGGAAGGGTAATGAATGGCTGGAACTCTTGATAAAACCTATCTATTTTAGATCAGCACACGACAAATATTCCCAAACTGAGTAACTCATGCCAGAACGGAAGAGGCCTTAGAACGTTCCAAACCAGGACGCTGCGTATCAAAAGCCGGGAAAAACTAAGGGCCACGCAAACACGTGCCTGACGTGTCTCTTGCCAAAACTTCTGGAGATGAGCTGTTCTGGCAAATTTTAAGCCAGCACACCTGGTGGCATAAGATGTGCTACTTCTATGTGCTTGGTCTCAGTCTCATGAGTTGCTGAGACGTACTAAATATCCCTACCTCTACCAACGTAGAAAAACAGAAGATGAGGAAGCTTATGGCATTGCATGTTATTTTCAGTTTCTTTTTAAGTTATTCCTTTCCCAGGATTTCAAAAGCTATAGGTAATACAAGACACGTGCTACTACAGTTAAACAACTAGTACCCAAAACTGAGAACAAAGTTTTTGGGTGAGGGTCTGGGTGCATGGGTTTGTCTGCCTGTTTGTTTTAATAACTAGAAAGGAGTCAGGGGAGCATGTCTCTCTTTCCACTTGCTTAGGTTCTGCTGGCTACATAGATGTATCTATTGCTTAAGGAACATCCCTACCATTTTTCAAAAATTTTACTCTTAATCTTCCATTTAATCCCAATAAACAGTCATTTGGGGGCTTCCTCTGCCAAGGAAAAAGTGATAAAATGATACTTCATTGAAAGTCATTACAGCATATAAACTGACCAGGGCAAACCACTAGCACAAAAGGATAAGCTGTTAGTGATATCTGTACTTGTGTGCATGCCCTGTCACCCACTGAAATGCCCAGTAGTTTACCTTTTACCACTCTGTGCACCAAACTGGATATTCCTGTCAACTTCCACAATTCAACAGCTGGTATCGCTTAAAACATAAATTTTCAGCGCTATTTGGAAAAAATAAAATTCTCTCTGAATATAATCATGGTTTAAACCTTTATCTGATTGGTTGCTTCTTTAAAAGATATAAAAATAAAAATATAAATGCATAAAAGTATAAAAAATTTAAAAGGACTCTAGTACTTCTTAAATCTGGCCTGGGTATCAAGTTTTATTCCATGATCTCAGCTGCAATATTCTTTAGTCTGTCATTACGGATACACTTTTATACAAATTAGAAACATCTGGAGAGCTCCCAAAATCAACAGAACCACACAAGTCTTCAAAAGGATACTTTGATTTAGCATGTGAAACTTTCCATTGTCTACATATGGCACTGTACAGCTAAATTTTACCTAACCACTCATAAGGTCAAGATCACCTTGTACATTATATACTGACTACAATCAGGGACTTGTTGACAAATGGTCAGTCAAGGACACACCTCCCTTTTTCTATATATCCTCCAAATCCTGGCTCCTTCCCACACTCTTCCATGATTTAATCATCTTTCAGACATCCTTCTTTTTTCATTTTTTCTACATTTTGATTTCTTGTTTACTAACTAGCAACAAGTAAACCACTAACTTTTCTCCTCACAGCTCAAACACTTTCGTGGTGCTTCATCACTGTTAACTGAAACCTAATGAAGAAAAACACATGACCTTGAATATATTTCAGAGTCATGTACTACAGAGACAAAGTACTTACTGAAAAAGCTTTTTAAAGATTTGTAGAAACATGCAGCAATAACACACACACCATCCTACAACATGATCTCAAACAGGTGAGGAAGCAGTTACAGAGTTTCCTCACAACAAGCAAGCTGTAAACGTGAGCAAGATCTGCTCACCATGCTCCTGACTGAATTCAACCTTAGAAGCCAATTAAAACAAGACTTGGAACTTGCGTAACTACTTTTCTTTTTTCCACGTGTTCTTTTAGGGTAATTTCAGGGATGAGAGTTCTTTCTCCAGGACTAAGCCATACATATCTACCAGCAGAATGTGAGTTTCACCAAGCACAGGATTCAAAGAAACACAGCAGACCATCCAGAAAGGTAAAATCATCTCAGTCCATGTATCAGAACAGTTTCTGCCTTGCTGCACACACTGCAGGTATATGGCAAAACATTTATCTAACTCTCCAAGAACAGAAAGGCTGACCAACGTCTCCCAGGATGGACAGTTACATAGAAAAAATTGCAAAAATTAGACCTGATTTTGACTGTGTGTCAACCAAAGGCAGTGGAGAAGAGGAAGGGGAATGAAAAGTAATGGTTCAAAATGAGGTATTTAATCAAACACGGCTGAAAATGCAGCAGTAAGTAATAACTAAGACAGATCCAGTGGTGACAGCGCTTGATTTGTTGCTCATTAAAACAGACCATCCTGAGGTTACACATTCCCGGGGTTATTCTTCCTTGAGCTTCTCCCCAAGGCCCTTGATCCCCTACTTCCTGGGACTGCCAGGCAAGTCCCTGGCATATGCAGACCCTATATGCTGTCTGGATATTTCCAATTTGGAAAAACAAACAAAAACAAACAAAAAACAAACAGACAAAAATCACCAACTTCTCCAATTCACCTATTCATTCTGCTTTTAGGAATTTTATTTATATATCTCTGTATACATATGTGCAAATCAATCCCAAACAGTAACAAATAAAAGCTATCCCTAGATACGTAAGTGCAAAGAGTCTTTTGGTCAGAGTTTAGCTGCAATTGTTTTTACAAAAGCCAGCAGGGGGAAGCAATTGCTTTTCAAATTACAATAGTCTTCTCTCCAGCCACAGGAGGAGGATATTAAGGAGCAAATTCATTCCATCCTAGTTCCTGAGCCATCACCCTTTCCTAACGAAAACTCAAGCCATGCAACTCTTTCCTTCACGTTCTCCTTACTGCTCTTTTTACTGCTGGCTCACGCACCCAGTCTCAGACGCACTGCAGAGTGTGCTAACCCATTTCTCTCAAAAATGCGGTCCTCGGAGGAGCTGCTTCCAGAGTCCAGCACAAAATAAGCTTGTCCTGGGAGATGCCAAAGCTAAAAAACAGACCCATATTTAATTCTGCATCTTTCCACTAGAGCACAGCATCCGCTAGAAGGTAAGTGTCCCAGCACAACTTGCTGTCAATGAAAGGGCAGGAAGCAGGAAAACTATTGCATAGCAGTTAAAGAAAAGCTATTCCACCACCAGGTCCAAACGTAACAAGCTTTTGCGATCAGTCCCCTTTATTCACCTTCCTCTGACACTACCACCAGGGGTTAAACTGCTTATGGATTACTTGGTCTACCTTAAGTAACAAGCTTGTGCTGTCCCAAGTAGCAGATTGTGGCTCACACAGTTACAATCTCTCTTCTAGTCCCCCAAACTCTTCTAGGTTTCAGATGAAAAATAGATTACACAGATATTAACAGATGGTACAGGCCATCTGACACAGGTATGAGGCATGCTGGAAGGGGGGCCTTGAGACTTGAGCCTCTCTGCTATGCCTGCATCCCCTCTGGCCCATAAAGAAAGATAGCTTCTCAATAAAAGAAAGGGGGACAATCAAGTCTTATGGTTGTAGAAACCATTTCTCTGCAAGAGGGCTGCATCCTTTCTAAGTCCTGAATAAGGGGACTTGGATGACAACTGGAAGGCTTGCCTACTTCATAGGCTGAATTCCTCTCTAGTGGGAGGAACAGAGACCAGAAAGTCCAGGGAAGGGGAAAAGGAGGAAGGGAGATAAATTTTTTGCCCCAGATAAATTCATTTGCATAGTATCAGTACACTGATACTTTATACTACCTTTTATATAACAGCTCTGAGAAGTCAAATTCAGTCTACAAGCTGCTAGTCTCCAATACCCAAGCAAAACTAGACGTGTGGGCCACACACACAGG